GAAGAAATCCATAATTTGACAGTTGTTCCTAGGGTAGAAGGTGGGAAAGGGGGGGGGGGGGGGGGTCTCCAAAGGTGTTTTCACTTACAATATATTTGCTCTCACTTCCTGTTATTTTTCCAGGATAAAAATTTCCTACAAAGCTCAACTCCATGAAAATGGAAAATCCACCCTTGCAATGCAAACTTTTCAAGGGGGGTTAGGCGTTCTCTATTTTAGGGTTATACGTAAGGTTTCTAGGTTAGATTAGGGATTAAAGTTTGGGTCAGGCTAAATGTTAAAGGACAACTTCATGTTTAATAAAGATGTCCTTTAATAACTGTAGTCCATTTTGAAAAATACCTTCCTCCCTGACTAAGCAATCTTTTCTCCGACAAAGTTCTGGCTGGCCCCTCCTACTACACAAGCATATCAAAGCCTCATTGATCCCCACTGGTGAGCTATACTCCCCTGGACTGATGGAAGCTCCTATGGAGTATGGCTACCCAGAGAAATGATTGGTAGCCACAGAGTGAATGTGCAGCATAAATGAGACTTCTGGGACCTTTCCAGAGTAAAGATCACTGGATCGGGGCGGAAGATACCCCAGGTGAGCTGCATCTAAGGGGCTATGATAAAAGGTGAATTTATCTTTCATGTGTTCAGTTTAAAAAAAAAAAGTTAAGGGTTGTCAGGTGTTCAGAGTTGATTTTAGAAGTTAAGGATTACGATGAGGTAGTGGGCTTTAAAGTGACACTAAACCCACATTTTTTATAAAATAAAGCCAACATGCTTAAATATACCGTAAGTAGAATGTACCTTCTGTCTCTTCCTCATTTGTTTCATCTCTCAAACACAAGCTTTTTCTGTTATTAACACTTCCTGTTCTAAGATGGCTACATTCGTTCTCCATGACCCCCTTTTGTATGCAAATGTAGCCACCCTTTCTTGCTTGCCTGTGAGGTGGACTGCACATCTACATGGAGACGCATTCAGCTCTATGGGAATTGTAGTACGCAGAAAGCACAGCATGTGACCAGAAATAAAAAGACACTGTTCACTCTACACCAGTAGCTGAGGATAGGGAGCATTTTTTTTTTCTTGCGTGCCCGTAAAGCATTGCATTCATGATCAGCAGTTCACTGGTGCATGGCAATGCTACTGCATACTGTCAGTACAAATGTCTACCCATAGCTCGATACCAGATACGGGCAGGCAGTTACTGAAGTTAAGGAAGATCAATGAACTGAGAAAGTGCTCATCAGCACCCTCCTAGTTCATTGAGGACTACAAGCTGACTGTCACAATGGCTGACGGTAGTTCTAGTTCATTCACGCTGTTTTTGAATTGTGACAGCAGATGTGGGGGGAGAGGATCCCCCCCACTGTCACAAAGGGGGATTGGGTCGCGGTGGAGGCAAGTGATTTAGTAACATGTTATGTTACACCCTAAACATGGGTGTAACAGGTAGCTAAAGGTGAACATATATATATATATATATATATATATATATATATAAAAACAAAAAACAGCCATAGCACTCGATATTTTAGAACAATTGATGTAAAAAAAAAAGAAAAAAAAAAAATTTAGTTTAGTGTCACTTTAATTCTTACGGTCAGCCTAAGTGTTAGGTTTATCCTACTTTTTCAGCACCACAAACCCTGAAAGAAATGCTTCCGCCCTGTTCTTAGCACCAGTTAGTAATGTTTTTAAATTTCATGTTCACCACTTCTGCAGCCCATGGGCCCATGGTCATGCAGTTCAACGGGATGCAAAAGAATAAATTAAAGGCTGGTTCGCACATTGTGAGGAGACCTGCGTTTTTCTACACTGGATTAAAGCAAGTTACTGCTCGGGCACACTACAACACAGCTGGAAGGTGTGATCCTGTTAGCTGTGGTAAAATGCAGACAAGTAGCAATTTTACAGCAGCACATTGGAAGGCTCGCATATCATCACACCATGCTAGTGTGTGCAGACCATGAATGAAGCATCAATTTGTGAATCTTTACTTTTTTTTTTAAATTTTAATCAAAAAATGTGGTATGTTGAAACATATATCGCACTGAAGCCTCATTGACTCTGAACTGACAGCAGACTGCATGCTAAAACAGCTTTTCAGCATGCGGTGCTGTGTAAACAGGCGCTAAATCTCCCCCATAAAAATAGCAAAAGCAGCATGCAAACAAACTATAGTCATGGAAAAGAGGCACAGAGAGAAGTGGCTTTACATATCACATTCATTTAACCCCTTTACACTATATAGCATTTAATAGAATTTCTAGTAAATGAAGTGAGTTTTACTGTAATTTAAAGCACACCTCTTACATGTTAATAAGAAAGGTAAACCTGCAGCAGCATAGCCCATGTTCTCTGGGGTCACATGTTGACTTTAGACTGCTTTCCCTCTTTACCAGTGCATCATTGGGGCCTTCTGAATAGCACAAACAAGTACTAGTCACATACACGCAAATACTATCACATACAAGTATTTACATAACCCCACACGTGACAGTAGTTTAGACAGCAAGCACTGCATTGTGGGACAAAAAGCAAGCAAGCCTACTCCTAAGTCAGAAGTTTGGCCTTTTCAAGGTTCTACCCTGGCATGCTGAGGAAAAGGTGTCTAAAGCCAAAATGTGGCACCAGAGGATGTATCTGTAGGGTTACTTTTCCTTTGTACTTTTTTGCAGGTGCTTAAAAAGGAAATAAAAAATGAGTCCCTATGAAAATCAACATTTTGGAAATACAATACAAATTAATTTGAGGCGCTTTAACAAGTTGATAGACTCTCATGCTACAAGCATTCAGTATGCCTTAAAAATTACATCACATTAAACATAAGCCCATTCATCAAAACTACATACATTTATTGCATTCAGATTGCAAAGCTTCTCTAGGCAAAGAAAAGAGAACATTGGAAAGACAGGAAAGCATGTGTAAATGTCTATAAAGCAGGAGTCATTATGTATTGGAAATTAATTAAAATAATTGGCAAACAAAAACTTTATTCAGTCATTTGAAATTTTGTTGCTCCTTAAAACTCAGAATCTGCTTTAATCTGTTAATGGACGAATCCCATTTTCAAACGCAAAGCAGGTGTGGTTAATATGGGGCTGTGGAACTGCAAATCACAGCAAATCTTGCAGGTGTGCAGCCAGATGTTACATGGGCAACTATATGAATAGAATCTTTTTTGCTCTCTAGTTAACCAACTTCTTTGTTCACCAGTTAACAAATCGGACATCACTCATTCAAAAAAAAAAAAAAAAAAAAGTCTACATACACAGAGAATCGCCCAGTTTGATACCTTCAAAATGTGACTAAACACCCCCAGCTGACCAATCTTCGAGAGAAAAATTGATTGGTCAAGCTGGATTTTTCCTGCTGATTGCTATTACTGTATTTCCCCTAGAATTAAGCATTTACTTTAAACAAACTCAGTGCTTGGATGATACATGTATACACAAAATGACTACGGAAAAGCCTTTTTGATGATCAGATTGTGCATCTAATGTCCACAGCCAGCCAGATGTGATCTTATTCACAGGTAGCTGACCCCTTACCCTGGGCCATCTGGGCACACAGGGTTTGAGAGTGTACACTACACTATACACTTGTATTCTATTCTAAGGCTTTGGGCATCAGTACGCACAGATATTTGTGACGTTTATTGCCGAATTATATATATATCCCTAGCATGCAGCATCCTGTACTGAACTGTCTGAGTATAGATACAGTACACATGACACATGCTAAAGGACATTTCACACACTGTGTTAGTACTAAAAACTGCTTTTACTTCCTCACAACAACCAATGAGATTTAAAGCTGCCTGACTAGTGATTGTGGGGAGATGCTGCCAAGTCTTAGCATTCTTAGACATTTGATATGCAAGGAGCTGTTCCCAAAACGTTATATTACAGCTTAGACTGGGAAAGGAAGTTAAAGAATCCCAGTAATCAAGTGACAGTGCAAGTTTTCAGAAACCAGTAGTCTTCTGGCAAAGAAACCATTCCAAATAATAATTTATTCTCAAATTAACGTTTTATTATTTAAAAATTGAAGAAAGGATTAAAGCACCTCTTTGCATTTTTTATTGATCATCCTTCAACGCTTCACATATGAAACATGCAGCATTACATTACTCTTGCTTTAACGCACACAAACATTTCCAAAAGGTAGTTTACTCCTTGGCAACCAGTACAGAAATGTACTTTGACAGTGACAAACTTTGCCTAAAAATAAAAAGTGGCAGTGGGGACAATTACATCCAGAGACATCTGATCTATAAAGGAATACGGAGACCTGCCTCTGATACATGTTGTATGCGGACAGTTATCTACATGATCCTTCTGAAAAGATGCTCTAACATGTATGAAGTGAAGTACTAATGCAAGTTATCAGTATTCTCAAGAATTCAATGTCTGATGATCTTGTACTAGAGTAGAGTACTGTCCGTAGTCCACTAGTACAAGGAATTTAGATTTAACAAAAACATTTGCAGAATTTAAAATAGATGTACCAGTATTAAAGAACACTCTTCATATATGTGCACAATATTTACTTTATGCCCTTTATGCAGCTATTATGTCCCAAAAACAGGAATCTTCCAGACCAAGTTAATCTGCAAAGACCTCAGGTTATCTTGAAGAACGCCTGTTCACTTATAATAAAAAGATGAAGGTATGTGCAGGAGGTAGGAAGTGGTATAAAGGGGATGCTAAGCTTTAACTGTATATATATATTTTTTGTATTTTATTTAACTTTAAAGGACCTCCTTTTCCTATAACAGGAGTACAGAAAGCACCGAGCAGACATCCCACTTCAACCTGTGTCTAAACATCCTGTATTCTATCTTGGGTTAATATTCTAAAGCAGAACATTGTGGGAAGTGCTCACGCAGTGAGATGTCATTCCTTGTATAAAAGAGTTAGCCCGCTTTATTTTGAAATTTTTTTTTTTTTTTTTATTCTTTTTGCTTCTTTATGCCCCCCTTCGGTGCCTCAGAATCCTTCTCACCACATGGTGTAACCTCCGTCCGAGCCACCCATGAAGTAATTGCCTTTTCTTTGTGTAACCACAACATTGGCACCTTGCATGGCTGCCAGTTGGGCTGCATTTGGAGGACAGCCAGGTGGTGGTGGCTATAAAGAGAAAAACAAAACAAAAAATGCTTCATCAGGTCATACACAGGAATAAGAATAGGATGACTGCTTCTTCTGCCATTATTTAATATGTCATTTACACACTACAGCATCTCTTGGTGAAAGGGCCACTATTTTGTTTTTCAGTGAAAACTACATGAAGAAAAACAAACATACAACTCAACTTTTGCTAAAACCATCCCATCCTTTTCAGTAAGGAAACAAAAATGCAATTATCCCTTTTAACCCCATTCCCCTGACCTACTCCACTCTCCCCTTCCACAGATGCATACTTATCTCATCCAAATGGTCGCAACTCTGATATTTGGTTACATCCAGCTAAACAAGTCTTTACTGTGCTGACTACATGTGCACATTACCACCCTATAGACCTCTATGGGACCGTCTCTAGCCTCAAGACATTATTATTATACAGGATTTATATAGCGCCAACAGTTTGCTCAGCGCTTTACAATATAAAGGGAGACAATACAGCAACAATACAGTTAAATACAAGAGGGATTTGAGGACCCTGCACCTTGGAGCTTACAATCTAGGAGGGAGGGGCTAGTGGTACAAAAAGTAGTAACTGTGGGGGATGGACTGGTAGAGAGAGTAGAAGATTCCATTATTAGCTGAGGGCAGGATAGGCTTCCCTGAAGAGATAGGTTTTCAGAGATAGCCTAAAAGTGAGCAGAGTAGGCGATAGTCTGATAAATTGGGGTAGAGAGTTCCAGAGGATGGGGGAAGCTCTGGAGTAGTCCTGGAGACGAGCATGGGAGGAGACAAGGGAGCTAGAGAGCAGGAGGTCATGCGAGGAGCAGAGTACGGTTTGGGTGATATTTGGAGACAAGATCGGTGATGCAATTTGGGGCAGAGTTATAAATGGTTTTATACGTTGTTAGTGTTTTGAATTTTATCTATTGGACAATGGGAAGCAGTGGAGGGATTGGCAGAGGGGGGTGGCAGATACAGAACGGTTAGTAAGGTGGATGAGTCTGGCAGCAGCATTCATGATAGACTGAAGAGGGGATAGCCTGCGATGAGGTAGGCCAATGAGGAGGGAGTTACAATAGTCGAGGCGAGATATAACAAGGGAGTGAATAAGTTGCTTAGTGGTTTCCGAGGTTTAGAACGGCCGTATCTTGGAGATGTTGTGGAGGTGAAGTCTACAAAAATTCGGACAGTGAATGGATTTGGGACTGAAAGGACAGATGAGAGTCTAGGATTACACCTAGTACCCTGGCATGAGGGGAGGGACTGATGATTGTGTTATTGATTTTGATGGAGAAGTCAGGGGAGGGGGCAAGGGCTGGAGGGAATACTAAGACATGACCCTGATAGAAATCTATGTGGCATTACTTCCCAGGCACAGCTAGGACTGGGAAGACTTGCCTTATTGAATCTAAACAGCAGAACTGCAGCTGTTGGATCACAAGTGAATATGCACCTGTGGAGGGGGCAGGGCGACTTAGGTTAGATCGAGGGAAAGGTGCATTTATCCTTTAAATTGAATAACCACTTCCTGTCCGGACACTTTTACCCCCTTCCTGTCCAGGGCAATTTTCAGCCTTCAGCGCTATCACACTTTGAATGACAACTGCGCGGTCATGCAACACTGTACCCGTATGAATTTTTTTTACCATTTTTTTGAGACCGATAAAGCTTTATTTTGGTGGTATTTATTCACCGCTGGAATTTTTATTTTTTTTTGCTATATAAATAAAAGTCCAAAAATTTTGAAAAAGTGTTTTTCTTATAAAATTTTGCAAATAAATATTTCATCATAACTCTGCCAAAATTTATTCTGTTATCTTTTTAGTAAAAAAAAAAAAAAAAAAATAATAATAATAATAAGCCAAATTAGTTTATAACCAAAAATAATAATTTTTAAACTTTTTTTTACATTTTTATATTAATGTTTTGTTTTTTTTTACAGTCACCCTAGCAGTACAGTGTCACCATGGTGACACTACTACTTGTGGGGGGGTGATTAAGGTTTTTTTTTTTTTCTTTTCTACAGTGATTGCTTTTACACCCCATTTTTTTTTTCTTTTCTACAGTGATTGCTTTTACACCATATAGGATGTAAAAATCAGCAATCAACTAGAAATAGCGGGTGCCGTTTATGAACGGCAAACCCCCGCCCCTGGAGTGCCACTGCCCTGCCGTTTAAAAACAGCAGGTGGACGGCAAGTGGTTGTAAACCATTACACATACCCAGTAAAGTGGCTAGCCTTAGGTGATACAACTTATGTAGAAGAATTTGTTTACATCTTGTATCTGTTTATCTGCAGTCTTCTATTCTCTACAGCTGTTCAAAGTGAAGAATTTATACAGCTTCCAGAAAGTAGGAAGGGCGGGAGCTGAAATTACGCTCTGCAGAGCTCAGTGAGGCTGTCAATCATGTGTGCTGGAGCTCTCTCCCCTGTCACTTTTTTTCCTCTTGGTGTTAGGAAAACTTGTCAGAAGTGACTATAGAGGAATGTGGCAGGAGACATAAATGACACTTAGTGCTCTGGACTAAGACAAGTACACACTAAAGACAGATATGCTTTGTTAAAATTTCTTGTCTGTCATGTTTACAAACCACTTTAAATAAAAGACAGAGTGGTTCCCAGTCATGTGTTCAGCTATGACAAGTGATCACATGCAGACTGGAGGCCTAATAGCAGATGGCACTGCAGCCTATTTAAAGTGACCCTATACTTTGCTTAATCAGTCATTTAATGTCCTCCCCAGGACGCGCTGTAGGATCTGTCACCTGCTGTGTCCCATAGACATAGCTGATGACAGATCACTGTACCAGCCCACTGTTGGTACCATGTGATCGCTGTGATCAATTACAGCAAATCCTATGACAATTTTACACAATGGATGGCTTTCATTCATACCATCCATGGTGTATTATTGAGTTGCTTGCGGTGATTGGCCACAGTAATCACATGGTACAGACAGGACCAATCACAGCCCATCCATACCACGTGATGGGCTGTGGCCAATCACAACAAAACAATGAATGAATCAATATTTAATTCAGTAAAAATGATAGTTCATAACAGTGAAATGCACTGGTATAAGCAATCATAGGGTGTAAAAAAAAAAAAAAAAAAAAAAAAAAAAAAAAATCCTTATCCCCTCCCCAGAGTAGTACAATGTTACTATGGTAACATTGTATTGTTCTGGTCAAAGTATGTAAAAAAAAAAAAAAAAATTCCGCTTTCAGCACTGTCACATTTGAATGACAATTGCGTGGTCATGCAACATTGTACCCATATGAAATTTTTATCATTTTTTCCACACAAAATAGCTTTCTTTTGGTGGTATTTAATCGCCACTGGGTGTTTTATTGTTTGCACTATAAACACAGATATATATCTATCTATCTATCTATCCATCTATTCCCTATAACTTCCCTTTAGACTAGTTAACATACATCAATTTGGATCAATTTTACCAAAGAAATGTAGCAAAATACATTTTGGCCTAAATTTATGAAGATTACTTATTGGCAATATTCTGTATCAGAAAAGAAGCAAACTTTTTTTTTTTTTACATTCTCAGTCTTTGTTTATTTAGCAAAAAATAAAAGAACCCAGTAGTGATTAAATACCACCAAAAGAAAGCTCTATTTGTGTGAACAAAATGAGAATTTAATTTGGGTACAGTGTTGCATGACCGTGCAATTGTCATTCAAAGTGCAACAGTGCTTGGGCAGGACGTGCCCAGTATTGAAATGGTTAAATAAAGCCAGATGAAATTTCCCTGCAACAGAAGAGCTATAGTCACCTTTCTGGCAGTGTGTGCTTACAACAAAAAAAATTGAAAATACATTTTTCCACTCCTGAATAGGAATACCACATGTGTGCATTACTTGCTGTTTGTACCCGTAGTAGGTCCCTGAAACAATAGTGCGCATTTAGCGGTCATATTTCATGTTACAGGAGCACTGCAAGTTAGGTTCATACAGCAAGATCAGTTCTGCTACTAAATGTAGAGAATTAGAAATTACAATTGATTATTTTCTATTTAAACACTTATGACTGTTAAATAGTAAGGGGTCCCAAGGATCCAAATTCTAGTCCACAGTAGCAGTCTATTTGCCCCACTATTTACAGTACATACAAGAAGCCGCTCATTTTTCTGAAAATGTAAGCTCTTGGTTGTAACCACGGGCTTAAAACAAGACTGGTTTCACATCGGTGCTAATAAGTTTGTTTTGCTTTGGTTAAGGGATGGGTAAGGGGAAAGATTGTACCATAGTACTAGCAGTATTGGCAACAGGAAAGTAAATAAACAGTAAAGAGAATACTTACTGGCACAGATGCACTACTACCAGCATTGAACCTTGCACCTGCATCAAACCCACCATCCACAATGACTGTAGAGCCAGGGTGATACACAGGTCCAATAGGGTAGTAAGCCAGGGGAACGGAGGAAGTCATTGGTGCTACTGGCATCGTTTGAGGCATTGGCACATACATGGAGTTTCCAGGGTAGGCGGCTGAAAGAGCTGCCATATTATGAGCAGGTGGGTGAACATACCCTTGGCGATAAAGCTGCAGAGAAGCAGAAAAATTGAATTAGGAAAAAAAAATATGGCAATTCCAATGTCATTTCATTTCTTGAACCCCTTAACCAAAGTACCCAAGAATTTCAAAGCTTTCCTGGAAATATGCACAAGACAAAATGTTTTATACAGTAATTTCATTCACAATTTTGACACCTACAAATACATCTGTGGCGGCTGCAAAGTGTTGGGTTACTTTACCTCAGAATAGGCTGGAGGAGAATCTGTATAGGGAGGAGCCTGTGGAAGATGCATGGCTGGTGCATAGACAGACTGTGAATTCTGAGCCTGGTTTGGAAAGGCTGAGGCTGTAGGGTACTGGCCTGTGGAGGAAAAGCAAGGAAAGATATATAGGTAAACATGATGTTATGACTGGTGTTAGTGAACTTTCAGTCCCATATTTAAGCATGCCATTGGGCGTTTCCATATTTCAAGCATTTCTCACAATTCACAAATTTCCACAATTAGACTACCAGTCTCCTGAAACAAGTACAGAAGCCATCCTCTAATTGCCCTTTTTATGTGCTGGGACAAGGGCCAACACATTAAACAAAAACTAGAAGCCAGCAAACATGTTCTTCCCATAACTTCAGGGTTTAAAAAAAAAAAAAAAAAAAAAAAAAAAAGAAGGTTTAAGAATAAAAACACATATCTAACTGGTTTTAACATTTTTAATAAAGGTTATAAAATCCTTATCAAATATATCAATGTGGTTTTCCAGTGTTTTTATTTACATTCTGTCTACTAACACAAGCACAGTGAATGCTACATTTAAGACACGCTTCTGGTGATATTTGGCACCGTTGCCAGTGTGCTTAGATCATTTCCTAACTGAACTTTCAAGCCCTCAAATTAACTGAGTCAGATTTATCACATTTGCAGCACCATGGCAACTACAGATGTAAATAGAGGTTAGGATGTTTCCATCTTTGGCATAAAAAAAGGATAGGTGGATGTAAACAAATAGGGGGTCATTGTTTATGTACATTGGCTACATGACTCTTGGGAACTGCGGATCACTAAGCACACAAATGTCATACGCCAGGGTCACAGCCGCTCCTTAGCGGCTATGTCCCGACGATTGGCAGCAAACAGGATGTGCAGAGAGCACAGCTCCAGTGGCTGTGCTGTATTCTGTCACTTTTCCTCTCTCAGCTCATTATGAGGATGAGCTGATCGAGAAGAAAGCAGTTTCTCTGGTCTCGATCAGCCTTTGTCCCGCCCAGTACACACCCCGCAGCCCACGATAGTAAAAAGATTGCCCTCACTCTCCTGCTCCTTCTCCAGACACAGCATCACAAGAGATAAGGTGAGTTACAGCCCCCCTTCCTCCCCATAATGCCTTACCACTCTCAGTTTTTTTTTTTTTGCACTGATCACTCTCTAGTGTTTTTGGGGATGTCAGTGACCCCATCTGTTCCCCCAGTCAATAGTGGGTCCCGCCATTCCCTGATCAGTCCCACATCAATTCGTATAAAAAAAAACTCTTCACACATCTTAAATCTCTTCCTACAAAGTCCGATTTTCCGAGTGCAACGTATTGAAAATACGCTAAGCAGGAGATTTCTGACCTTTTTCCCTTGGCGCTGACGCCTCCCGGCCCAATTAATTTCACGGCGGGGTTTTTTTTTTTATAGCAAAGACATGCCGCACAATGCATCGGGAAAGGTCCCAATCAAAATTTGAGATTGGGACATTTTTTTTTACTGACATGTGTGCAGGGAGCGCAAAAGCACGTCTCAGCACATATAGTTTTTTTTTTTTCAAAGATTGCAAATGTGCGGCTGCTCGGCGTCTAGGCCCAAAAAATGGGAAAACCGCACATTTGCAATCAAATACCACCGAAAGGTTAAAAGCCACTGTACATATTGGCGGAAAAAAAAAAAAAACATGTAAAACCACGTTTTAATACGTTGTTTTTGTAAACAAATAGGGGGTACGCGCGAGGCGCGCAGCCGCCCCCATTTTTGTCCTGCGGATCACCGCCACAGATGTCAGTCGCCGGGTCACAGCCGCTCCTTAGCGGCTATGTCCCGGCGATCGGCGGCAAACAGTGACAGAGAGCACAGCTGCAGTGGCTGTTTTCTGTCACTTCCTTCTCAGCTCGAGGATGAGCTGATCGAGAAAGAACAGTTTCTCTTTTCTCGATTAGCCTTGTCCCGCCCAGTAAAAAAATATTGCCCCCTAGTAAAACATTGACCTCACTCCTATAACCCTTCCCGTGCAAAATAAAGTTAAGCCCAGGTTCCTCCCCATTGCCATTAGTACAGTGTCAGTTTTTTTTTTTTTTGCACTGATCACTGTATTAGTGTTTTTGGGGATGTCAGTGACCCCAAGTCAGTACCCCCCCCAATGTCAAAATGTCCGCCGCAAAGTCCCGCCATAAGTCCCTGATCGCCGCCATAATTCGCTGATCGCCGCCATAATTCGTATAAAAAAAACCCCTAAAAATCTCAGTATCTTTTCCGCCATTTGTAAACGCTATAACTTTCACGTAAACCAATTAATTTACACGTATTGGGTTTTTTTTTTATAGCAAAGACATGTCGCAGAATGCATTTTGGCAGAAATTTGAGACTAAATTTGATTTTTGCATTTTTTTTTACTGGACATGTTTTATAGCAAAAAGTCCAAAATATAGTTTTTTTTCCTCAAAGATTGTAAGCCTTTTTTTTTTTATAGCGCAAAAAATAAAAAAAACAGCACAGGCGATCAAATACCACCGAAAAGAAAGCTCAATTTGTGGGGGAAAAAACAAAAAAAGGGATGTAAATTTCATTTATGTACCATATTGCATGACCGCGCAATTGTTGTTAAACTATGCGCAGCGCTGTATAGCAAAAAAATGGCGTAAATTGCAGTATTTATACCATAGTTTGTAGACTCTATAACTTCCACAAAAAGCAATCAATATACACTTATTGGGATTTTTTTTACCAAAAACATGTAGAATACATTTTGGCCTACATTTATAACGTCAGCTGCTACAGGATAGACACATCAACTTTGAGTTTACTATATATTTTTTATAGCTGAAAATAAAAAATATTGTTCTTTTCCCTTGGGGAATTATTGACTTTTTTTGTTTATAGCGTGAAAAATAAAAAGCGCTCCCAGGTGATCAAATTACACCAAAAGAAAGCTCTATTTGTGTGAAAAAAAAGGACGTAAATTTCGTTTGGGTGCAGCATTGCATGACCGCGCAATTATCAGGCCGAATTAGTGCAGCGCCGAGTAGCAAAAAGAGGCCTGGTCATTAAGGGGGGTAAATCCTCTGGAGCTCAAGTGGTTAAACAAGATATTTGGGTACGTATGCAAGAGATTGAAAATACCACGGATGGTCTATTTCAATGCTTTACAATCCCATAAGAGACCTTAATTCTCACAAATGTTCTATTACATCAACTCATGTATCAACAGGATACTGAGAACAGGAACCGCCATAACAATATACGGATCAGGTGCGTGCCAGAGTCTATAGAACCTAAAGACTTAGCTGCAGCGGTTACCTTTGACTTTTTTGGGCCTCGTGTTTAGGGGCGACTGGAGACTTGTTTCCCCACGGGGGACCTGGGCCGGGAGCCATCTTCAACCAGCTACTGCAACAGCCCAAGGATACTCATATTGAGCTGGACCGTGTACATTGTACTCTAGGCCCCAGAAATCCTGACCCCTCCTTTGTCCATGATATCCTATGTAGGGTCCACTATTTCAAGGTCAAAGATGCTATTATGCATGCAGCTTTGCACACAAGACACAATCTTATTCAATGAGATCCAGCTGATGCTGCTCCCTGACCTCTCCCGCCAGACCCTGAACATGCGCAGGGCCCTGTGCCCCCTCACTCAGCTGCTACAGGATAGACACATCCACTATCAATGGTGGTTTTCCTTTTTAAGCTTTTCTGGATGGTAAATCTGCAGTTCTGCACCCTTGGGGAACTGCCTGCTTTCCTTGGGACTTGTGAATTGCCTTAAGTGTCTTTCCCGGACTGGCCCTTGCGGCTCTCGACCCCAGGGACTTCCATTTACTTCCCCTGGCAGCGGTCCGAATGGAAGAAGCGTTCCAGGTCCTCCTCCCCAGAAGATTCCTGATGGCCGATTTTCTCTCAGTTCAGGGGGGTGCGAGAGGCTCTTCGTTAATCCATTTGCATTTGCCGCTGTTCTTGTTGGACTGGTTTCTGAGTTCTGCAGGTTCCTTGCTCTTATTTCACTGCATTCAAATATGTGCCTTTTAAATGTGTTTTTTTGTTGTTTATTATGAGGGTTTACGATATACATTTTTTGTATGGAGAGCAGCTCTTTTTTGGGCGACTCCACTGGAGATTTACTCCACTGGGACTGGCCCATGTTTCATTGTAGGAGGTGATTTTAATATAGTCTTGTCTCCTGCTGTGGACACCTCCAGCAGATCTTCTCTCCTTTTCGGTGTTATCTCAAATGAAGTCTCATTTACATGTTCTGCACTTTGTAGACGTGTGGCGGGTCTGGCACCCTTCCGATCGGGATTATAGATACTATTCAGTGGCACGAGTCCTATATAGTCGTCTTGATTATTTTTTTGTTTCACAACCCTTACTCGATTCCCCTATTTTGGCTTCCATTGATCATCTCTTATGGTCCGACCATGCTCCTATTCATCTCATTATACATAATCTCCCCGCGCCGTTACAATAGCTCTTCCTGGCATTTGATACTCAGCTTAGATTCTGTACGTGTCACGGAGGTCACAAGGGCTATACAAAACTTTGTTTTGGATTATTCCTTGGATACCACTGGCCCCCTTAAGTGGGAGGCCCTTAAATGTGTCCTCTGTGGAGTGTTTATCCAGCATGGCTCCCAACTGAAGAGGGCTCGGACAGCGGAGATTTGCCAATTGTTTTCGCTTACCGCAGCCGTAAAGTCTTCCCACAAGCATACACTGGATCCAGGGCTCGCAGTGGACCTCTCTAAGAGCCCGTTGTGACTTACTCCAATTACTGGACTCCTCCTCCTCCCTTATTGCCTGAGATAAAGACTGCAACACCCAGTACTCTCTAGCTAACAAATGTGGTCAGCATCAAGCGCGGGTACTCCACCCTCGCCCGTCTCGTCGCCCAATCCAGCATATCCAAGCTCCAGATAGCACCAAAACCTCAATTTCATCCGCGTTCGAACGCTATTACTCTCAAGTTTATAATTTGTCCCCCACTTCTTCAGCTGTCTCCGTGGATTCCTGCCCTCAGGCTATGACTCAATACATTGCTGAGACGGCAT